GTTCACACAGCCTAGCCCCCTTACTAGGCAGCCACCATTATGAATACAGGAGCTCGTTCAGGTGTCAGAATTCCCTCTTCAGCTGTAAACTGCTTAGCTTTTCTACTGGGCACCAAGTCATTTTTGTGTTCAAAGATTTAAAAAACTAGTGGAGGTCAGGTGCAGTTGGTCAAGCCTGTATTCCCAGCACTTTGGGAGGCTAAGGCAGGTGGATCATCTGAGGTCAAGAGTTCAAGACCAGCCTGGCCAACATGGTGAAATCCGTCTCTACTAAAAAATACAAAAAAATTAGCTGGACATGGTGGTGGGCACCTGTAATCCCAGCAACTCAGGAGGCTGAGGCAGGAGCATTGCTTGAACCTGGGAGGCAGAGGTTGCAGTGAGCCAAGATTGCACCACTGAACTCCAGCGTCAGCAACAGAGAGAGACTCTGTCTCAAGAAAGAAAAAAGAAAAGAAAACTAGTGATGACAAGAGTAGGAAAGATACCTTCTATCTAGCTTTAAACAATTGTTTATAGGAATGAAATCTAGGTATTATATTTACATGTTTTTCATGTTATAAAGATCTTGGGCTCTTCTTAAGATTTCACTAACAGTTTCTTCAGTTCTCACTTTCTGCCATTTTACTACCTTCGTTATGGAAAATTTTGAACATTATGCCAAGACAGTTAAATATTCACAATGCTTTCAATATAATGCTTTCACAATAATATTCACAATGCTTTCAACTTCAAATGCATTGTAGAATTGACAGCCAAACATCTTGAATTATCGACTTTATTCTTAAGGATCATTGTGGAATATATTTTGCAGTGGTCTCATGAGACTTTTTAATTTTTAATGGCTTATTGGTGAATTAATTTTAGGCTTTGTTATTTTGTAGCTTACATAATCCTTTGCTTTCTAGTATTTGGAGCTTGGCTTTTTTCTGATTTCTTGGTCTTGTATGTTTGTTTGTTTATTTTTCCTGAGTCTAAAGAAAATGTAGAAGACCCCAAAGATAGGCTGCCTCTCATTAGTAAATAGAAGTACCAATCGAATATCATATTTATTTTTCATGGCAGGCAGATTTCTGCTTAAAATTCTTATTGTCCACTCTGCAAATTTATATTATGTAATCTTAGGGAGCATTTTACATGCATAACTAAAAAAAGTGACTGGGAAAAAAACTACTCTTTCTCAGTTCCCGCTGCAGTCACTTTCACAACTGTATACTGTTGACTATTCAAAGCATAAGGCTAAGAAATGGCTTCAAATTCTCCATTAGGGAAATTTGTGTAAGTTTTTTTTTTTAAGGTTTCTGATTGCACAGTAGTTGTACACCTGAGAGAAGTGAATACTTCACCTGCTTAAGCTCTATGAAAGTTGGATTCCAGTGAAAAGGTGAATACATTTCCCTCACAGACTCACCTAGACTGATTCCTGCTCACCCTACTCTTTCTTTAAAGAAGACATGATCATTGCATCTTCAGGCACTATTATTTAATTTAGCTTCATTAAGAATTAACTGTTTTGTTTCTCTTGATTCACAGAAAGAAACAGAGGTGAAGGAACGGTCTGTTTTTGACATCCCTATATTCACAGAGGAATTCTTGAACCATAGCAAAGGTGATTACTGAAGTTTCTTTCCGTGTTTCTCAGAGCTTTGACAGGGGGTTTAGTTCTCAGAAGGAATTCATTGCTTAAAAGCAATGGTAGTGATATCCCTCCTTAGGACTAGTCTAGAAGAAGAAGAACTGCCTCTCTTTCACTCAATGGTAAAGGTAGCTACTCAAAGACCAGTGAAGGAAAGCTAGGCCATTGTTGTCAAACCTTCTTTGATCTCTGGATCAAAGGAAATAAATGCAATCACAGATTCATTTATTTTCAGACTCTTAGCCTGGAACCCTTTGTACAAACAAAAACTTACATGGGAGTCCAAAATATAAAATGAGAGCAATTCTGATCCCACTGTAGTGAAGACTGGAACCCATAGCTGTGGTTGGCCAGTCTCCCAGGATCCCCCTGCAAAACCCCTCAGGCTTCTCATTGTACAATTTTATAAAGCAAAAACTAACAAAAAAAATACTGGGAATTGAAACTGTTGCAGTCTTATGTATGGAATATGACTAGCTTTAAGAATTAAAATAGCTCTGGGGAGCCACGCGTTTCATTGCTGAAATTGCTATCTGGAATGCCGTAATGAGAATAGGGAGATGAGGTGGGGTAGCCAAATTAGAGGCAGCTAAGCAGAACTTCCCTATAAGAGTCATTGGGACTCCTCAGAGACTCCTTCTAGCGCTGCATGTGTTCTGTGGGATATATGTCCTCAGCTCGGGAGGCAGAGCTCCGCCAGCTTCGCAAATCCAACATGGAGTTTGAGGAGAGGAATGCAGCCCTGCAAAAGCACGTGGAGAGCATGCGCACAGCAGTGGAGAAGCTGGAGGTGGATGTGATCCAGGAGCGGAGCCGCAACACAGTCTTACAGCAGCACCTGGAGACCCTGCGGCAGGTGCTGACCAGCAGCTTTGCCAGCATGCCCTTGCCTGGTAAGTCCTCCTGCCTGAGGACCATCAGTGACAGGGATGTGTGTGTTGCGAGCAGTGGGGTGCTATCTATGTTTGTACTGGTGTGGAGAGGTTGAAATCTCCAGAGGAAAATTAATTAAAATACGTTCTTTCTTCTCCGGATTGGGTCATATAATAGAACGTCAGTATTGGCTAAAATCATCCCATGTTTCAGGGTCTCTGGTCATTCAAATTTTTGTCCATTTGTATTTTAGTATCAATTTTCCTTTATTTTAAGCTTAATTTGCTATTCAGAACACTGGAAACTAAGTAATAAATCTTGAGGAGGGTGCTTCCTTTTATGTATGTATGTTTGCTTTGTATTTGTTTTTGTTTTAACGGGAAGAGAAAATGAACACTGGTATTTCTTACATACTTTCATTTTGAGGATAGTCATAGCAGAAATCTGAGAGAGTCTCTAACCTTCTGTTACATGCAGCTGCCCATATATACTATACAGCAATTATATAGCCCATCTGTTTATTTAGAATATGTGGACTAACTTCATTTCTTTGAGATCTAAAGTCTCTCTTCTAAAATAAAAAGCACGTCTGTGGAGCAGACCACATTAGAATCAATATTTCTTTTAAATCGTGTTTTATGATAAAACTGAATAGGATTTTCTTACTTTCTTCTCATCTCACTTCAGGAAGTGGAGAGACACCTACAGTGGACACCATTGACTCATATATGAACAGACTGCACAGTATTATTTTAGCTAATCCCCAAGACAATGAAAACTTCATAGCTACAGTTCGAGAAGTTGTGAACAGGCTTGATCGTTAGGGAATGGTGAGTGCTCACTGATACTTATATGCCAGCATATCATCAAAAATAAGATGTCATCAGACTTTATCAATACCACTAAAACCCTGGGATTACATTGGATGAATGAGTTGGAGACTTGGTTAAGATTCCTGTTGCATGGTTGTTAAATGTAATAAATAATATTAGAAAACAGAATCACTTAGTCCCAGCTACTTGGGAGGCTGAGGTGGGAGGATTGCTTGAGCCCAGCAGTTCAAGTCCAGTGAGATCCCATCTCTAAAAATAAAAGAAAACAGAATCAAGACAGTTTTTTCTCATGCTTGCTTCAGAATGGTTTAATGGAAAGAGCATGGTCTTTGTGCTTTGACCCCAGTTCTAGCTTTGTCACTTACTAGCTATATTCTTGGGCGTTGGTTTCCCAAAGGGTTTTGAAAAGTGAGTGGAAAACTTAGAGGAAATTATCCCTACAGCAGCACTCAGAACAAAATAAATATAACTTAATTTTTAATCTTCCTTTTCTCTGGAAAATACTAATGATAATTTAGAAGTAGTCGGTGAGACATTGTATATTTGTGAGCCTACGTAAGTAGGAAACTTTTATATTCACCACCCAATAGCACAGTGACTGTTGTCTGTTAAATGTTGATGTGAACTCACAATACAAAGAGGTAATTACCTGGTTTTAATAGATTAAAAAATAAACTCTTCAGCCAGCGCAATGGCTCATACCTGTAAGCCTAGCACTTTGGGAGGTCAGAGCAGGCCGATCGCTTGAGCCCAGGAGTTCAAAACCAGTCTGGGCAACATGACAAAACTCCATCTATAAAAAATTATCTGGGCATGATGGCATGCCCTTGTGGTCCCAGCTACTTGGGAGGCTGAAGTGGGGGGATCACTTGAGCCCAGGAGGTTGAGGTGAGTCTGCAGTGAGCCATTATTGCATCACTGCACGCCAGCCTGGGTGACCGAGCAAGACACTGTCTCAAAAAAAATTTTAAGTAAACTCTTGGTGGGGCACAGTGGCTCATGCCTGTAGTCCTAGCACTTTGGGAAGTTGAAGCAGGACTGCCCGAGCCCAGGAGTTCAAGACCAGCTTGGGCAAAATAGCAAGACCCTCCACCTTAAAAATATATATATAAAAATGGAAAAAAGTAGCCGAATCTGATGGTGCACACCTATAATCCTAGCTACTCAGGAGGCTGAGGCAGGAGGATCACTCAAGCCCAGGAGTTCAGGTTTCAGTAAGCTAGGTCACCCAGTGCATTCCAGCCTTGGTGACAGAGCAAGACTCTGTCTCAAAAAGAAAAAGAAAAATTATAAGTAAGCAAAAAAGAAAGGATAGAGAAAATAGGTTTTTAAAAATATATATTCAACAAATGAGCAGAAGTATTTATTCCTTTATTGAGGAAAAAAAATTTTTTTTTCTCCATTTCCAGAAGAGATCTACCCATGTACACTTTTTGGTACTAATGGTCATTTCTTAAATGGAATTAGTATTTGTTCATTCAAATTTCTAGAGATAGGATATCCTTTTAGTATGCCGTACCATCAAATCGGCATCCCTTTGCTCTAGTGGTTAAGTTATTCCATACCTGGAGACACATAAACTGTGTGGAAATTTTAAGGTTGGACCCTACGACGAGGTGGCTATATATGGATACTCAAACGAGAGTCAGCAGAGGATATGTTGTTCCTCAGAATGACTGGTCGTGGGTTTGAATCTTTATTCATCCTGTGAGTACATGAGCACACTCATATACATAATTTATATTCTGGCTTCGTTTGGTTGAGCAACATACCTAAAGATAAATAAAGCCCATGATTTTTTGTCTAATGAGGCAACATCTGCTAGTAGAGACAAAGACAGAGGTCTTTATACTTCTTGGTGTGCCCTTGGATGGTCACTGTACCAGGCAATTCATTATATTTTAGCCTCAGCTATGCTCTGATGGGGAAAGGATTACCGTCCTTCCAGTGAGTAGCCAGATGGAACGGACCGAACTTAGAGATGGCTGGACTCCCTGCAGAGTAAAGAAGTGGCATTACTGCTGCTGCTTATGAAGGGAACAGCTTGTAAATCTAGGCCTGGGATTTTCAGGAGCTCATCATCCTTCCCATTTTTACACAGTGTTTTCAATTAGGACTCTTGTAGGCTTGAAAAGTGAGAGCTGGGAGAAACAGTGTGGAAGATTGTGAAAGAAAACATTAATTGATAACATGGTGTCTCTTCACATAGATATAGGATACTTAATTAAGTATTGAACCAAAAGTGGTTTTCCATTTTGAGCATTTTGCCAGTAAGATTCTCCTAAAGCTTTGTTCATCTTAAGAATATAAACTGTATTATTTGCTTTCTGAAGAGTCTTTGAAAATTAGAATATTACTATTATCCTTGATTTTTCAACTTAAAAATATTTTGCCCTTGAAAAAAATAACTAAAAGTGTGAACTGTTATATTGCTACAGATTCTTACACTCTAGCCATGCAAACATAACTAACAATAGATGGTTCCCCACACCCCCCAAAACTGTCAAAGGAAATAATTACAAAGATATGATTAATACTAGTTTGGCCTCATTATACAGATATGTACAGACAGTGAGGCCTGATGACCCCAGCACTCATGGTGCAATTAATTACTCTGACAAGAGTTTGGCAAAGGTTTCATCCACTGTCAGGAGCCAATGAGAGAAGGGAAGCTAACAGTCTACAAGTTTCAGAGGAGCGTATTAGAGTTGGAAGGGACCTTTAGAAATCCAACATTTTATATATGAAGAAACTGAATCCCAGAGAGGAGAAACACCTTGCTTGAAAATACCCGCATACATGAGTACAGAATCCAAGACTAGAACCACAGAGATCTAAACTGTCATTCACTGGGTTTCTAAAACATTGCTCTAAGGAAGAGGTGGATGGCAGAAGGGGAAAGCACTGAAATGTCCTGAAATTGAGCGTTAAGATACATAGAAAGTTAATAGAAAAAAATTACAATCTAGTAATTATAATGTTATAGAATTTTAGCCCATTTTAAAATTATTTTGATAAATATACAATGGAAGAATTGCCCTACCTGTCCGTCACATTTCTTGTGGCTGAGTAGTGCCTTGAGACAGGTAGAGCCAGGAGGAAGTCATAGAGGTGATTTTAAATTGAAAGGTGACTACCTTAGCTAAACTACTAAAATGCATATGTTGCCTGACTTCAATGATAATATTTGGCTGTTTGAGTTTGGGAAAAAAAAAAATCTTTCTTATGTGACTGCATTTTTATTAATATGAGAAATGTTCTTGATTATATGTACATAGTATGTCTATACATTCAGATATCCTTAGGTTAACACTTGAAGAAAATTGGTTTTGATTGACGATACATTCTTCGGACTAAAGTAGGGCACTCATTTTCCCTCCTCAGATTTGTCCCTGATAGTTGCTTATCTGTGTTTAGCTGTTGATTTTCCTACCTCCCATTGTTGCCGAACTGGAGCAGGGCCATGTTTCTCATTGAAATGTTATGTGAAACATTTCAATGAGGTGGCCTGCTTGCAGCTTTATGAGTTATTTAGTTTACATACACCCTGCACTCCCCTTAACCCTTATGAAACCAAAGCATTTTTAAAATCCATAGCGCTAACCCCTTCTGATTAATACTTAAACTTTCTTGGTGTTATTCTCTTTGTTTTTGTTTTCTTTTGTTTCCCTGATTCTGCAGGTTCTTAGAGCTCCAATATGTTCCATAAGTGTTTTTACTTGTGAGGAATGAGAAGCCATCCATGGAAATTTGAACTGAGTTGGGGCAGAGAAAGCATGCAGATCCCTTTGCTTGTGAAAGAATTATCAGTGAGTGAAAGGCCGTCATCCCAGGAAGCCATATGAGGGGGCAGCAACATGTATATGAGCTTCCTGTGGAATTGTCCACATGGGAAGCTTTGAAAGTATCCAGCCACTCTTCCCGGTCTTCAGGTCCCTATCATTTCCATCTCTCTTAGAGTGGATCTGCATATCTTCAGCCTACTAGGTGACCTTGACGCTGACGTCCGCTGCTGCAGAAAGGAAGACTTCTCATTGTTGCAATTTTGCTTAGACCCTTTTATCGATGGAGCTCCAGTTTTGTTACCTAGCTGTCACTTTTTTAAATGCCTCTGGGGGTCATTTTTGCTTTCTTGGCCCCCACCAATTTATACATCTCCATTTTCTGACCTCTGGACTTTGTTGCTCAGCAAGGTTCTGAAGGAGAGTTTCTTGCATTGGACAGGCCCAGTCTTCTCCCATTGTTGCCCTGCTGTGACTCCAAAGAAAGGAGCTTCTTGTTGACAGTGCCCTGTGGAGCAAGGCTGTGTTTCCTACCCCACACGGTGCTCAGTGGGTGCCAGCCCTCAGTGTGGCTTTGTGATTGCTGCCCTAAAGGAGAATGCTCTTTCCTTCCTCGCTGGTACTGCCTGCTGTTTTCTAAGCATTGCTCCTGCACAGACATGGAGTCCCAGCCTCAGCAAGGCTCTTCTGTTCCCATCTGTTGGCAGTGTCTTGTGGAGCATTTTTGCTGAGGAAAAGGTCACTTGTAAACAGAGGAGAAAGGGAAAGAGTACAAAGCCCAAAGTTTATTTCAAGAAAACTGAGGGAATCCCTGTCTTCTTTTGGAATAATGATTCATGGATCTACATAGGTGGAAATATCATTCAAAATAGTCTCTTGAGCTCACAGAAAAGGCCTGGAAGAATTCTTATGTCCTTTGTCTTCCTTCTGTACCCATTAACTGCTGAATCCATGTGAAGAAGATAGGCTTCCTTTCCTTCTCCCTCCTTAGTGATTTTTTTCTTTAATAGCATAAGTAAAGAGGACTTTCTGGTTCATTTTTGTTTGTTTTGTTTTGTTTAGAGATAAGGTCTGTGTTGCCCAGGCTGGAGTGCAGTGGCTATTCACATATGCTATCATAGCACATTACAGCCTCCAACTCTTGGGCTCAAGCATCATGCCTAGCAGTTTCTGGTTCCTTTAACAGCAAAAGGAAAGAGAGGTTCTGATTCTTACCTCAGGGTTTTTGGGTTGTTTCTTTGTCTGTTTTTTTGACACTCTAGAGCACAAGGCTAAAGGTTACAGCTGAGATCTTTGGAACCAAAGCAGAGCCCATTGTCTGGGCACCACACCACTGCAGGCAGGTGGATAGAAGTGTGGCCCCTCTCACAATACGCCTGTAAGTCAGGGTGTAGGCAGAACTCCTTGTCATGTTGCTATACCATCCTGGCTTCTCAGCATCTCCTTGCCTGTTTTCTTTATTAGTCCAAAGGAAAACAACAACAAAATCTGTTTTTAAAATATCTTATGTGAACATACATCAAATTTCCATGTGCTGAAGCCCCCATACCATCACTTTGCAATTTTTTAGAATAGGAATCCATTATTATCTGTTGTTATCAACCTAGCCAGTTCTCCTGCTCTTCTGTATTTTCCTATTTCCCTGCCATCATCTGCTATTTCTGCCACTTCTCTTAGACTCCTTGTCTGCTAAGTCCAAGCCAGAACTCACTCTCCGTGGCAGGACATCCAGATCCCATTGTGGAGGTTTGTCTTCTTTCTGCCAGATGCTTTCTGTCTTCTTTCTTCCTCCTCATATTTCTGTTTCTCATTTGTGTTCAGTTTTGTGCAGCATTGTTCGCACTGCTTTTGTGACCAGAAAAGGCTATAATGTGGTCCAGGATCATCATTCTCCTGACTCTAGATGGGACACTTGACAGTGACTAGAAACATTTGCATATTCAGAAACACATGAGCTCTCAAGAGAGCCTACAGTATGAAGTCAATTTCACAAAATAAGCAGCTTGTTTTTGAAATGCTCTCTTTCCCAATAACTACCCACCTGACTCTAGAATGATGCTAGGATGCAGATGCGACAAAACTGTCAGTGTCTATAGAGCAGGTCTGTGCCACCTCCTGCCTCCTCTGTGCTCAACGAGGAACGCAGTAAATGAAGTTACAGGCTAGCACAATACCTAACTCATGTTTCCCAGTTCACTTGTAGATATTACTATACTTTTATGTTCTCAAAAAATAAGCTGTTTCCTATTCAGTGTTACAGATTTCTTTCTTTTTTTATTAAAATACAAGGAGCAGCTGAGGAAGGGGAGACAAGGTACTTTATTTCTGACTAATTCTAGAAAAAACCTGTATACATGTGTTTGGAACTGTTGAAATGCCAAGTTTTCTGTATAAGTGTTTTTGTAATTAAACTTGCAGATTTTCTTTGTTTTTTAAGAAGTTGATATGCTTGTTTGACATTTGTCTCATTAAAACTTTTCTATGTTGAATTCACCTGATTCAATTTTACTTTCATTGTTAAAAAAAAAAAAAAAAAAAAAAAAATCCTACCTCTGGCCAGGCGTGGTAGCTCACACCTATAATTCCAGCACTTTGGGAAGCCAAGGTGGGCAGATCAGGAGGTCAAGAGATCGAGACCATCCTGGCAAACATGGTGAAACCCCATCCCTACTAAAAATACAAAAATTAGCTGGGCATAGTGGTGTACACCTGTAGTCGCAGTGACTCGGGAGGCTGAGGCAGGAGAATTGCTTGAACCTGGGAGGCGGAGGTTGCAGTGAGCCAACATCGTGCCACTGCACTCCAGCCTGCTGACAGAGCGAGACTCCATCTCAAAAAAAAAAAAAAAAGTCCTACTTTGTTTTTTCCTCTTAAAGACTTTGTCAGCTCTACATTAATCATCACCTGTTATGCTTTTAAAACAGTAACACATTCATTTTACTAATTGCTACTTCAAAATGTATCTTTACCTATTTGAGAAGTCAGCTCCTTTAATGTATGCTGTAACAATACAGTGAATTCCAATTCATTTTAATATAGCAGTAGTATTCTGGAGACAACTTAAAAAGATGTTTAGTCGGTGACTCTGATGTCCCCTTTATAGATCATTTGATAGAAGAAAGGAGATGTGCTTAAATGCTTGCTTTTTAAAAATAACCAATCAAAATCTTTTTAAAGGAAATTTGTCACCTATTTCTACTATGCTTTTAAAAATCCTAGGGGTGAGGCAACCTGGCTTCCAGAGCCTGCCGATCTCCAAGCAGCCAGTTGTGTGGCATTGGGCAAGTCTTGATTTGTTCCAACTCCAGTTTCCTCTTCTCACATAACACATGCCTCAGCTCTCCTGTACTGTTGTAAGAAGGATAGAGTTAGGTAACAGAATCCACCTCGTTTTGGAGGACAAGAAGATAGGAAGTATCTTTACGTGATTGCCAATAATTATCAGGGTATCTCAGGTTGGGGTTTGACTACATTCAACAGAACTAGCAGCAGCTTAAATAAGAAGTGTGTCTTTCTCATAGAAAACTATGCCAAAGTTAGGCAGTTCAAGGCTAGTCTGGAGGCTCCTGACTACCGTAACATGATCTTTCCCAAGGTCACCCCATTGTCCAAAATAGCCACTTGACCATCAGAAATTTTTACTCAGAAATTCCTGGCAGCCTGAGGAAAAGAGGGCAAGGACGAAATGAGCAAACCTAGCTGAGTCAGGGCCTTCTAAAGAGTCTTCCTGGAAATCATATTCAACACTTTCGCTTAATTTGGCCAGAACTCAGTCATGTGACTATAGCTAGCTGTAAAGGAGGCCAAGAAATGTCATTCTTGCATGGATGTTACTGTGCCCAAAATATACAGGTTTTAGTAAGGAAAAAGGAGACAATGGATATAGAGTAGGCAACTGACGTTAATTTCATAACGATGCATGACTTCACGTTTGCACTCTAAGCCCCACCCCCCCACCATGTTAGTGAATGGAGTGTATTATCTTGCCTTTGCCTCTTGGCCATTTGAGAATGACCACATACTTCCTCGACACTTTTGTTTCCCCTGGAGAGCCAGAAAGCCAAAAACTAGCTTCCATCTGAGTTGGCGTTTCCTGTTCTAACTCCTCTCCTACCCTGCAACAGCTGGCGGCCAGTCTTGTTTAGTAGAAGTCAACATAAACAGGTGCTAATACTTCCCCTAGTTGTTTGTTCCCTTTCTCCAACTGCTCAGCATCTGCTGAATTGAAACAACACCAGGATAAGCTTTCCCTAAGGGTGGGGAAATTGAAGTATTGCTTAGCGGAAAAGCTTCTAGCTACTTCCTGCCCTCTGAAAGAATTTCCTGCCTTGCAACTGAGAGTTCCAAGTCAGGGGCTTTTTCTTTGTTTTATTTATTTACCTTTGATACATAGCATGCACTCAGATATATACTTCAATATCTATGGATATAAACAGTAGTTGATATGCCAGCCCATTAAAGAGATCAGGACTGAGAGTCAGGCTAGGTGAAAATGTTAATGTACATCTGCTCATCCAGAAATCTTTTCAGTTTGGTGTTCATAGGACTATGTGTCTACAGGGAGAAACTTGCCAGAGGTAGAAATGTAAATTCTCTTAGTTTAGTGAAATGCAAAAGGAGGAGCCACAAGGAGGTAGGAATGCCATTGGGAAATTAAGTGCATGGCCAATGCAGATTTTCCAGATAGAAGGATTTTTATGAACCACCTGCAATACCAGATCAGTGGGAGTATGCCTTATATGTTTTCGTGGGAATATGTATGATTCAGTATAAGAATGTTGTCTTTTCTGAATCTCTCTTAACACACACCCCATGCAATGGTTAAAGCCAGAGTTTTTTATACCAACCTCTTTTCATTTCACTTTAATTCACCCTTTATTTGGGACTACAAAGGCGTTTGTAAAACATGGTTTCTGCCCTCCATAGTTTCTGATCCCCTAATGGGAAAGACAGACATGTACATAAATAGTTCTAACATAGGGCAGCTTGCCTTAATAGTTTTAATAAAGGCAAATAATTTTTGGAGAGTGAAAGAATTACTTGAATCTTACCTGATGAGATATTTTTCCATAAATGCAAAAGAGTTTGCAATGGGGAGTAGGTCTGAGTCAGGGTGGGTGATCAGTATCTTAATAATTAATAACGACTTCATCTGGAATATACATGAAATATGAATATCTGAACTGAGAGCCATCAGTTTTTCTGGTAGAGGTTGAAGTAGCTGAAGGGTCAGAACAGTTGGATAAATTGTAATTTAGACAAGCAGTTTTTCAAAGTGCAGTTTTGACTCATTAATAGATCATTAAATCAGTAAGTTGGTCAAACATTTTTAAAAATTAAAATGAGGAGAAACTATCAGAATGCACACAGGTAGTAAGGGTATTATTTTGTGAAACATATTTATACTTTAGATACAGCCATATGCCTACACATACTTATGATGTAAAATGTGTATCTTACCATGGGATCATGGTAAAGATAGTCAATGACTGTTTTACTACCTCTGAAATTGGACAACACTGCTGGGGTCAGGTCTGGATTCTGCTGCTTTCCTCTCATATGACCTTAGGCGAGTTGCATAAGCCACTATGTTAAGTTTTCTCATCTGTAACCCAGTGATATTTATCATTTCTGTCCTGTAGAGTTTTTATGTAGATTAAATTAGTCGATCCATGTAAAACACTTAGAATAGAGCCTGTCATAGAGTAGAAGACACTTAAATATAAACTGTTATAATTTGTGGAAGACTCAAGGGAAAAGAGAAATAGCAATTAGACACACACTAGAGGCCACTCTGCTGTGCTTTTTACATAATTTAGATAATTCCTCCCACAACTTTACAGAGTAGGACTACTATACTCATTTTTACAGTAAGTAAATTAAGACACGGATAGGGGAAGTGACTGGTGCAGTCACAGAACAGGGAACAGGTAGAGAAATGGTTTATACCCAGATAGCTGTGACTCTACAATCTGCTATACCCATATTGTCTTAGAGATAACTAATGGGAGTGCCATGAGTTCAAAGCCGTAGCATAGTACGGTGAGTCTGAGAACTTGAATTAGACCTATTCAACAATGTTTGTTGAATATCTTTCTTGTGTTAGGAATTGTTCTGGGTCCTAGCCCCCGCAGAGCTTATACATTGCTGGGGAAGAAGAGACTATAAACAAGTAACCTAACAAACTCATCTCAGCTAATTACCTAGATAAGAGGAAATGATATAAGCTAGGGGAGAGAAAAGGACTTTCCGAAAAAGTGTCTTCTGAAGACAGACCAGATTGATTCGAAGGAGCCAGCCTGATGAGTGGCTGAGGGTGTAGAAAGGCTGAAGTCCTGAGGCAGGAATAAGCTCTGGAATTTCAACGCATGGGAAAAAGCTGGTGAGGCTAGAGCAGAGTAAATGAGAGGCTTTGGAGTTGCAAGGCACGCAATAGCAAGATCAGGTAGATCCTCAGAAGTTTCGTAAAGAGTTTGTAGTTTGTCATAAGTGTAATGTGAAGAGAGTTCTACACAACTGAGTGACAAGATCTGATTTCTGTTTTTAAAGGGCACTCTGCACCAGGTACAGTGACTCACGCCTGTAGTCCCGGCACTTTGGGAGGTGGGGGCGAGCAGATCACTTGAGGCCAGGAGTTGGAGACCAGCCTGGCCAACATGGTCAAACCATGTTTGTATTTGTCTATTAAAAATAAAAATTAAAAACTAGCTGGACATGGTGGTGCACATCTGTAATCCCAGCAACTCAGGAGTCTGAGGCATGAGAATCCCTTGAATCCAGGAGGTGGGGGTTGCAGTGAGCCAAGACTGTACCACTGCACTCCAGCCTGGGTGACAGAGCAAGACTCTGTCTCAAAAATAAAATAAAATAAAATAAAGGGTCACTGTGGCTGCCGTGTAGAGAATTGCGGGGGAGACGAGAGAAGAATCAGACTAGTGAGAAGACTGGCACAGGAGCCCAAGTGAGAAATGACAGTGGCTTAGCCTAGAGTGGGTGGGGAAGGACAGATTAATTCAGGATATAGTTTGGGAGTATAAGGGACAGGAATTGCTGAGGAATGGGACGTGGAGAACGAAAGAAAAAGAATCAAGAATGACTCCGTTTTTCCTAGCACAGTGGCTCACATCTGTAATCCCAGCACTTTGCGAGGCCAACGCGGGTGGATTGCTTGAGCTCCGGAGTTCGAGACCAACTTGGGCAACATGGTGGAACCCCATCTCCATCAAAGAAAAAGGAAGAAGAATGACTGTTTTTTTGGCTCAGGAAACCGGGTAGCAGATAGAGATGCCATGGCCTGAGATTGCCGACTTAAGTATGAAACATCACGGAAGAAAAATCAGGGATTCTGTTTTAGACTGGCTAAACTTGAAATCCCAACAACAGGTGAGCCCCTGGGCAAGACACATCTCTCTGCTATTAGTCAAAAAGTTCCAGCCGGGTGCGGTGGCTCACGCCTGTAATCCCAGCACTGTGGGAGGCCGAGGTGGGTGGATCACGAGGTCAAGAGATCGAGACCATCCTGGTCAGCATGGTGAAACCCCATCTCTACTAAAAATACAAAAATTAGCTGGGCATGGTGGCGCGTGCCTGTAGTCCCAGCTACTCAGGAGGCTGAGGCAGGAGAATTGCTTGAACCCGGGAGGCGGAGGTTGCGGTGAGCCGAGATCGCGCCATTGCACTCTAGCCTGGGTAGCAAGAGCGAAACTCCGTCTCAAAAAAAAAGTTCCTTTCCGTTCTTAAAAGTCTGTGGTTCCTTGAGATTCTAAGTTCAGGTCAGTGTTTGCTAACATTCCATCTATCCTCGGCGCATGTGCAGACCTGTAGATCCAGTTACTCAAGCTGTGCATTGAACTGTGAAATTAAGGAATGGTCTCCTTTTTAAATCTTCAAGCTCCTTAGGAAAAGCATTTTTAAAACCTTGCATCTGCATTTGTTTAAGATTGACATCAAGCAGCTGAATGTTCTGGGATATAAAAATCATACCATAACCTGACCATTCGAAAATCCTAGGGCAAGAAATGGGAAGCGTCTGCTTAAAGGAGACTGGTCAAAAATACATTTGGCATCATTCAAAGAAGGGTAAGATGAGAAGACATCACTGATATAGTCAGGAAGTTTAAAGACTCAGCAAATGGGTTCCTGCGAAGGGTGCTTTTGCTACCTTCAAGGATAGAAGTCAACTAAAGGCAGCTGGGTCCAGGCAGTGGAATGAAAGCTAACAACCTTCTATTTTTCTTGGGGCTGGTGGATTTTTGAAGTAGACTCAGGTTATATTTATCAGAAGAATTTCTTGGTTTAAAGGACAAACTACTATAGTAATTATGGATTTTATTCATCCTTCAGAAGAATGAATATTTTAGAAATATTTATTCAAGCATTTCCAAGGACTTACTATGTGTTTTGGGTGCAAACTTGAGGAAGTCTCCACCGGAAGCTCACGGTATAACAAAAAATAGATACAAAAGCTAACTACAGTAGGATCTGACAAATGATCCAACAGCTGTGAGCACAGTATTCTGGAAAATACAAAGGAAAGATTCAGTGGTTTTGCTTGGGGGAAGGCAAAAGAGAGATTTACCAGGATAACATTTTGAGCTGGGCCTTAGAAAAAGAGTACTTCCTTAAGATAAGCTGGAAATAGACCTAGAGATAGAAGTACAGTTTTGGTGTACTCAAGTAATTCAGTGTGACTAGAACACAGGTTATGTCTAGGGTGTTGACAAAAAAGAAAGATAGTGAGGTGTTCTGAAAATGGATTGTAAATGGGCCTTGAATGTCATACCAAGGGTTTTAGCTTTTGTTTTGAAGGCAGAGGGAAGGCATCAAGTCTGTTTTTGCAAGGCAATGACATGAGAAAATAAAAACTACCCACAGCCTCTCAACCATTTTTCTGACATGAGCTGCTTTAGCAATCTGGTAAATTCTGTGGACCCTTCTAGGAATTTATATATATATATTGTACTTTAGGTTCTGGGGTGCATGTGCAGATCATGCAGGATTGTTGCATAGGTACATATGTGGCAATGTGGTTTGCTGCCTCCATCCCACTGTCACCTATATCTGGCATTTCTCCCCATGTTATCCCTCCCCAACCTCCCTACCCCCACTGTCCCTCCCCTAGTCCCCCTACCAACAGACCACAGTATGTGATGCTTCCCTCCCTGTGTCCATGTGTTCTCATTGTTCAACACAAACTTATGAATGAGAACATGCGGTGTTTGATTTTCTGTTCTTGCATCAGTTTGCTGAGAATGATGGTTTCCAGATTCATCCATGTTCCTATAAAGGACACAAATTCATCATTTTTATGGCTGCATAGTATTCCATGGTGTATATGTGCCACATTTTCCTTGTCTAGTCTATCACTGATGGGCATTTGGGTTGGTTCCAGGTCTTTGCTATTGTAAACAGTGCCACAATGAACATACATGTGCATGTGTCTTTATAATAAAACGATTTATAATCCTTTGGGTATATACCCAGTAAGGGGATTGCTGGATCAAATGGAATATCTATATGTAAGTCCTTGAGGAATCACCACACTGTCTTCCACAATGGTTGAACTAATTTACACTCCCACCAACAGTGTAAAAGTGTTCTTGTTTCTCCACATCCTCTCCAGCATCTGTTGTCTCCAGATTTTTTAATGATCGCCATTCTAACTGGCATGAAATTGTATCTGAATGTGGTTTTGATTTGCATTTCTCTAATGACCAGTGATGATGAGCATTTTTTCATATGTTTGTTGGCCTCATATATGTCTTCTTTTGAAAAGTGTCTGTTCATGTCCTTTGCCCACTTTTGAATGGGTTTGTTGTTTTCCTGTAAATCTGTTTTAGTTCTTTGTAGACGCTGGATATTAGCCCTTTATTCAGATGGGTAGATTGCAAACATTTGTTCTCATTCTGTTGGTTGCCAGTTCACTCTAATGACTGTTTCTTTTGCTGTACAGAAGCTCTGGAGTTTAATTAGATCCCACTTGTCTATTTTGGCTTTTGTTGCCAATGCTTTTGGTGTTTTAGTCATGAAGTCCTTGCCTATGCCTAGGTCCTGAATGGTTTTGCCTCCAGATGGATTAAAGACTTAAACATAAGACCTTTTAGAAATGTTTTTAAGTGAATAAAATACAAATAAAATTACAAAGGAAATCCACTATATTAAAATATACCTATCAAAATGTTAACAATGTGTTATGTAGGAATATCTGTGGTTCTTGATAAAGCATTAAATAACATGATCTAGTTCTAATAATGACCATAATTTTAAAGTAATAGTGACTATAAATAATATTTCAACATATGCAGTGGCTATAATATAGTATGAAAATATCTGTGATCTTGTTGGTGGCAAAGTCACAGGTCCTGCCAGTACTACTGGGACTTGTGCCAATGTTTCTGCTCAAAAGAAATGCAAATTTTCAATGAGAGGTTTGTGAAAATCAAAATGTAATTCTCCCCCATTCATTATTGTGGTCCTTAGCATAAATACTGAATCCAAGGCAGTACAGAGATAGACTGGTTAGGAAACTTTTAAAATAGCCAGGAAGGAAGGTAAGAAGAGCATGCAGTCAGGGGCTGGGTACAGTGGCTCACAACTATAATCCCAACACTTTGGGAGGCAAAGGCAGGAGGACTGCATGAGTTCACAAGTTCAAGACCAGACTGGGAAACATGCTGAGACCTCATCTCTATAAAATAATTTTTTTTAATTAAAAAAAAATGAGGCGTGGTGGCATGCACCTGTAGTCCCAGTTATCCAGGAGGCTGAGGCAGGAACATCACTTGAGCCTGGGTGGCGGAGGTTGCAGTGAGCTGAGATAATACCACTGCACTCCAGCCTGGGCAACAGAGCAAGTCTGCGTCTCAAAAAGCATATATATTAGCCAGGCATGATGGTGCTCCCAGCCACTTGGGAGGCTGAGGTGGGAGGATCACTAGAGTCCAGAGGTCGAGTCTGCAGTGAGCCATGTTCACACCATTACACTCCAGCTTGGGTGACAAAGCAAGACTCTGTCTCAAAGGAAAAAAAAGGAGAAGAAGAACATGCAGTGGGGGTGGAGCAAAGGAGGGGATTAGAGACATTTGGGAGGCTGACTTGGTTTCTCCCAAACCTCAGTGAGGGATTCTTCAAGGAGGAATTTTGGGTAACTGTGGCCCGGTGGGCGGGTTCAGCAGGAATACAGTGTAAATACCCTGTAGGCAGCTTTCCATGTGTAGTCTACTTTCATTACTTGGTTCAACTAACATGCATTACCCTCTGGAGCAGGCAGTAGGAATACAGCAAAACAGATGATTCTTGCTTCCATGGAGCCTCATAGCTAGTGGAAGAAACATGATTTAACAAACGTAAGTAGCTATGATGTGGCTGCCTTGTGGTGTCAAATGCAGGAAAAGAGTGGTGGCGTGTGGCAGCATATTGGCAGCATGTTGGCAGTAGTGGCATGTGTCAGCATAGCGGGCAACTATTTTTTCAAATGATGGGGTCAAGGAAGAAGGCCCCTTCAAGGAAGTGACACTTAAGATGAAAAACCAGTAGGACTCGGGGAGAGTCAGGAAAAGAGCACAAAAGCCAGCTTTCGTTGGTGATTTAAAGGAGCTGAAAGAACGCCAGGGAGCTGGAGCAGGGAAATATAAGGGAAGAACGGCAAGAGACAGACAAGAGTGAGGCCACGTGTGGTCTTATCACCCAGCCCAAGGATCTGGGATATTCTCCTCAGTGCAGGGGGAAATCACTGAAGGGTTCAGAAAGGGGAGTGATACCATCTAGTTTAAAAAAAAATTTTTTTTAATTATTCTGACTACTCTGTGAAGCACTGAAATAGTGAGCTAAATTGTGGCCATGGCTCTAATGCCTCCGGAGGTGGTGGTATCCTGGACTAAGGCTGTAGAAGTGAAGAATGATGTGGGGAAGAGGATGGAATACAACCATTTTGGTGGTAGAAGGAACAAGATGAGTGATGGGTGAGAGGGAGGCGGGAGGGAGAGAGCGTTTCCAGGGATCTTGTGCTTCACACGGATGGTCCGGGCACCAGTTACTGAGATGGAATGACTAGAAGAGGAGCAGACTGGGGCAGGGGAATGGCCGGGAATCAGAGAGGCTTGTGGGAATGTTCATTTGAGATGCAAGTGTTAAGTCATCAGAGGTAGGTGTTAAGTAAGCATTTCTATTGACAGTTCTACAGCTTAAAAGGTGGGTCTGGACTTGGAATGACATTTACCAAAGACTTCCAAGGAGGCTTTTTTTAATTAGCACTTTTCTCCCAGATCCTGGCACTGCTCTGCAGGCAGACAGTCAAACCCCACCAACTGCTGCCACCCCTGCCTAAAGATTTCAGTTTTATTCTTTGCCCTACTGCTCACTTTTTTTGGTGTTGAGACAGGGTCTCATTTTGTTGCCCAGGCTGGCGTGCGGTGGTGCGATCATCGCTCACTACAGCCTTGAACTCTTGCGCTCAAGGGATCCTCCCACCTCAGTCTCCCAAGCAGTTAGGACTACACAGCGCACTACCCTGCTAATTTTTCCACGTTTTATAGAGACGGGGTCTCACTATGTTGCCCAGGATGGTATCAAACTCCCAGGCTTGAGCAATCTACCTACCTCAATTTCCCAAAGCGTTGGGATTACAGGCATGAGTCACTATACCCAGCCCTTACTGCCAACTTTCACCATTCTTTCATCCTGCCCTTGATATCAGAACAACATCTGGACCCAAGTGAGACTTTTCCATTGGCTTAAATCAGGCAGGATCTCTAAAGATGTTCAGAATATTTAAACTTACATGGGTCTGCAGGAGGAGCTTTGCAACCATAAAGGGGATGCTACGCATAGTGGTTTATAATGAAATAATATGTTTATCTTGGCTGATTTTATGGCAAATATGATTGGGATATTTACTGGTTGTTTTTTAGAACTAGACGAAAACAACAAAACAGGCTAACAAATAGAGAAAAAATGTAGATTATAGAAAACTGTAAATTGTGATCATGCAAAGCGAGGTCTCACTCTAGCCTGAACACTGGTGACCCACAGCTAAATGAGGCCAAGATTAATCATGCCTTGATCTTATACATAAGCCAAAGGGTCTTTTCTAAAGATCATGCCTATTAAAGCAGCAAAGACTTTTCTGCAAGATATATCATAATGAGCTCTGGGCATTTAATGAGAGACAAGTGCTACGGTTGAATGTGGCAACCTTCACATCGAATCTGAAAATGAAGTGGGCCTGCTTGCTCTGCAAAATGAGGCCCCAATTCAGCCTGCTTAGGTGAAGAGGAGCCTCACGTTTGTAGATGCTCTGTTGCAAGCAAACCTTAAATCTTCTGGGAAAGGGGAAAGATTTTTGTTTGTTTTTATTTTTCTAATTAGGTAAGGACTGCACATGTAAGGAGCAAGCAGCTGTCTCCAGGCTGCAGGCCCAGTAGCTTCCAAAGGCAGTAAAGTGGGCGGGAACGGTGGCTCATGCCTGTAATCCCAATACTTTGGGAGGCTGAGCTGGAGCCAGGTGGATCGCTTGAGGTCAGGAGTTTGAGACAGGCCTGGCCAATATGGCAAAACCCCATCTCTGCTAAAAATACAAAAGTTAGCTGGGCATGGTGGCGCATACCTGTAATCCCAGCTACTCGGGAGGCTGAGGCAAGAGAATTCCAGTCTAAGGCGTTTGATAGAGTGTCCCCAAAGCCTCTGGAAGAATGTGCAGCACTCTAAGGCCAGGAGACCTCAGCTTCCATCTCTATCACAATGGCTGCCTCAGATAAGGGCAGTTGCCTGGCCATTTTTCATTGCAGTATGAAAGAAAAGTGTCATACCCCCACCATTCCTTGTTTTTCATCCCCTAGAAGCCCCTCAACCAAGGACTTGTGTAAAGTTGTGTCCGCCCCTGCTTTGATCTGCAGTAGGAAATGCTGGACGCATGTCCTGACCCTCCTTCCCCCACCGAAGCCCTCACGAACGGTACGTGGCTGTTCTGCAGACAGGATACTGCCTCACGTCCTGAACCTCGCCACAAATTCCTGCCCCACTAGCTGCTTCTGGCTTCCTCTTGCAATCCCAGGAGACAGAGGACTGTGTGGGAGGAAGGGAGCCAAGCATGGTCTCCCAGGCAGAAACTGCCTGGGTGTGCCTTTCTGGGTGGGAGGAGGGGGGTCTCCCTACTCCCTCCAAATGTCCCCGTCTTAAACCCATGCAGCACAAAACAAGCCCGTTCACTGTGTTCTTGGATATAAATATTGATTCTAGGTGATGTTAACATTCTGTTCATAAAAAAATGTAACATATTTCTCCCACACCATATTAGACTGATGTGTTGTTTGCCCAAGAGAAGTACAAGCTGGCTTCTGCGAGAAAATTTGGACATTTAAATGCATGCAGCCTTCGGAAGTCTAGGGAGCAGCCTCAGAACAGCAACCAGGCCCCTGGGTTGGCTTCAGCCCTGCCCTCCTCACCCAGTTTCTCCTTTCCCCTCTCCATTGTTTGCACATGGCCTTGGTATTTCTAATCGCTTGTAATTTAAGAAGATGCTTTCTTGGAATTATATCTTATTTCTTAAGGACCTGTTAATGTGAGGCATTTGCTTTCTTCAGGAGGGCCCGGAAGGTCAGTACCAAACACTTTTAGTTTTCTTCCCTGGGGAAAAGATCTGGGAGGTCCTGCCCTCCTGTTTTCTTTTTCCGTGGAGGGAAGGGCAAAGGCTCCAGACCAGAGGTGGTCCCGCCAAGCACTCCTCCGAGGCCGGACCAAGCCCAGGACTCAGATGTGTTGGCTGCCTTGGCAAGGCAAATTCCCCACATTCCACAAGTGCTCTTGAGGGGGAAATAGCGCTAATGAGAAAGCGGAATTCTTGATGTGTATGCGTGCTCACTCGGGTGCCAATTCATCTGACACAGACAGATCCCTGGCCCTATTTTGCAAGAGTGATAGAGCCCATTTCCAGATGTGCGGGAAGGCGGCCCCAGACCCAGTGCCTGCAGGGGAGCCGGCGCCCTCTGCTGTCCCGGCCAGGAAGCACTGCAATGCTGGGAGGGGACCTGGGGTTCCCGGAAGCTGGCAGCTCTGTCACAATCCACAGCCGGCCCTCACGGGTGTGGAAGGGGCCTGCAGCTCCTTGCTGTTCAAATGACGAGCCTGCAAGGGGCTGGATTCCCTCCTTCTAGCTGGCTCTCTTTATGTTTTGTGGCTCTCAATGAGCCAGAAGTGAAGAGGATTTACAATAAAACCCCAGCCTCTCACAGCATCTGCTGGTCCCGTTCCCGAGAAGGTGAGGAACAGTGGCACTGTCTCTGGCCTGTGAACCTGGCCAGCAGGCCCAGGCAAGGCGAGACAATGAGGGCAGCTTGCCCAAGTGGAGGCCTCCAGCTGATCAGCAGCCCTCGGGCCATACCCTTGCCTGAGAATGCGGCTTCTGGAGGCCTGGCTGGCTCCGAGGCTTCCAGCCCAGGGTGAGCTGCAGCTGCTCCCACTCAGGCATACTGGCATCTCCAAGGGCCTCAGAGCTGGCACAGCCAAGAGACTGACTCAACTTACAAGCTCAGACAGAGCTGCCGCCCCCTCTGCCCTGCTGCCTGCCAAGACAGCAGCACAGCAGTGGGTCCGGGGCCAGGGCCAGACTTGCTGCAGGAGAAAGAGATATTAATAGATAGAGAGAGAGAGAGAGAGAGAGAGAGTGTGTTGGCGAAAGGTGGGGTGGAGATACTGGGGGAATGCGAGGGGGGTGGCTGGTGAACTATACTTCTTGGATATCCTTTCAGTTCTGCAAAAAGGCAGAAAACAATCAGTTTTTGTTTTCCGGAAGATTTTTAATATTTTTTTGTAAAACAATCTCTTCCCTGCTGGGAGAAGAAACACCAACCCACCAAGCAACCGCCGAAAAACAATGCCCTTCTCTCCCTGGGACCAATTTTCAGGCTGCACAGCAGTCCCGACGAGGTCAGCGGGCTGCAGCTGTAAGTGGAAGATCTTTATCTATGTGGGAAAGAGGAAAATCATTTGACTGATAAAAGGAAATACAATAAATAGCATCTAAATTCCTGGCTGCATTCCCCCAGGCCCCTCGTCTGCTGGAGAAAGCGCGTGGGCCAGGGATACATGTGCTGCTCCAGCATGTTTAAAAATAGCATGCAGCACACAGCCCTTTCTTACCTTCCAGAAAGACTTCATTACCGGATCCTCAGCCCTGAGCCTACAGAGCTGCTGCCGGCGCTGTCTTCTCCCTGAGCTGGATTTTTCTCTTTGGAAGCATGAAGGCAGTGCATGTCACACACTTTACTCACGGGCCAGCTCCTGCTCAGCTAGTTTCAATCTAGGCACGTCTGGAGCTCACGTTGAAAGTCCATTGTATTTAATGGGGTGTTAACTCTGTTTATTCTCTGGGACTTGTGCGGTAATGTTACACTCTGCAAAACTAGCAACTTGAACCTGAAGTGATATTCCTCTTTCTCCATGCCCATCCCGGTGCGCTGCAGTCCCCGGGCAGCTCTGGCCCTGCCTCCCAGGGTTCCTGTAGCTCAGGTAGCCGAAGGAGTTCTGCGTGCAGTGGGAGATGGGAAGTCTGGGGTTCACACCCGGTTCTGCCGCGTGTTAGCATGGGTGCAGCCTGAAGCAGGTCTCTTCAGCTCCTGGAGACGTTTTTCTCATCTATGAAATGGAGATTTTAATGTGCCCCGTGTACCTCAAAAGGCATACAACAATCTCACAGTCGAAAACATTCCCCTGGGTTCTACAGAAACACCATCCTGTTATCGCCAACTGGGCCACTTTGGCATCACCTCGGAAGCCACATAACCCCTTCGATCTCCATCTCTCCACTGAAACCTTGGGATTTGGATAGGACTATAACGTCCACTAATCAGGCAGTATCTTCACCGTGCTGCGGTGATTTTGATAAGCCCGTTATTCCTTCCACCTTTATTGGTTGCCATTCTACTCTTGGGAAGAGTGGAATGTCTTGTCTCTCCACTTACTTATTCTCAGGACCTGGCCCTAGAAGGTGCAAAGACCAGATGACCCCTCTAGCTCTCAATCTCTGAGTCTCCAGCAAAATAAATGAAGGACATACTATTCTAATAAATTCTACCATCCTGTGTGAACTGTGCCTTCCGAAATTCCCACCTGATCTGAAATCCTGACATTTAGTGACCTTCCAGGGTCCTTACTGCTCAAACATCACCTGGACCTTGGCATTCCTCCTCAGAGCCAGGCCTTCCCTCCTGCATAAAACAGCTCAGAGCTGAGTTTCCCTTGCTGGAGTTCCTGATCTCTCTTTCCCGCTCCCTCAGGCCTTCTCCATCTGGCATCCTGCAGAATCCTCCACTCAATTGGTCTAAAATTAAATATATATTGTCCCCAAACCCACATTTTCTCCAGTATGTCAGCTCAGCTAATAATACCACTGCTCTCTGAAGCTGGAGAGCTTGGAGTCCTTCTACACACCTCTCCCCAGCTCTTTACCCTGCTCCCAGGCCTCACATCACTCGTTCACAGAATCCCCCCCCAGCTCAGCCCGGGAATCCCCCTAGCAGCTGGCCCTTCTCACCACCACCAGGGCAGGCCTTGGTGGGGTCTTCAGCATTCAGCTCTCCCTGACTCTCCTCAGAGCCCATTGCTTTGTTTTCCCCTTTTTCACTATGAACTAATTCTGTAATGGCCTTTTAACTGGCCTCAGTATCCCCGGTCTCATTTGTCCCCCTCCTAACTCCCCGTTGCCAGTTTATCCTGCACGCCACAACAAAAGCAACCTTTCTAAAATGCAAGATTAGTCTTGCAAATATCACTCTATTTTTTTTTTTTTAAGAGAGAGTCTCTCTCTGTTGCACAGGCTGGAGTGTAATGGTGTGATCTCGGCTCATTGCAACCTCTGCCTCCCAGGTTCAAACCATTCTCCTGCCTCAGCCTCCCTAGTGGCTGGGACTACAGGCACATGCCACAATGCCCAGCTAATTTTTCTATTTTTAGTAGAGACGGGGTTTCACCATGTTGGCTACGCTGGTCTTGAACTCCGGACCTCAAGTGATCCACCTGCCTCGGCCTCCCAAAGTGCTGGAATTACAGGCGTCAGCCACCATGCCCGGCCGTGTCACTCTATTTTAAGTGAGATCACAGTTGTGGTAGTTGCTTTTACTTTTAAGCCTTACAAAAATTCTATACAATAAGAGTTATTAGCATTTAACAGATGAAACTTAAGACTTAGCTCGATTAAAGGACCCAAGGCCACATAGCTATTACACTTTGCAGAACCAGAATTTGAACTCAGGTCTGCCTTATACTGCAAAACCCATGTTCGAAAGTATTTAAGGTAGGTGGCTAGCTCGGTACCTGGCACAGAGGAGGTGGATCAATGTGATTTCTATTCCTTATACTTCCCCCTTTTTATAAATTTCAGTCTCCAACAGGGTGCAAAGGCCTATTCCATGGTGGGTGGCATATGTCTCCAAATGCATGTCCTGTTACTGTGTGGTCCATTAGGGCCACATAAGACCACACAAATCCTCCTTGTTCTTTGTTCTTGGTTTTTTTTTTTTGTTTTTTTTTTTTTTGAGATGGAGTCTTGCTCTGTTGCCCAGACTAGAGTGCAGTGGTGCAATCTCAGCTCACTGCAACCTTCACTTCCTGGGTTCAAGCGATTCTCCTGCCTCAGCTTCCCGAGTAAGCTGGGATTACAGGTGCCTGCCACTGCGCCCAGCTTACAGGTGCCTGCCACTGCGCCCAGCTAATTTTTGTATTTTTAGTAAAGACGGGGTTTCGCCATCTCAGCCAGGCTGGTCTCGAACTCTTGACTCATGATCCACCTGCCTTGGCGTCCCAAAGTGCTGGGATTACAGGCATGAGCCACAGCGCCCGGCCCCTCCCTGTTCTGTTTCAACTTTCCTTTTGAAATCCTCTTTCCTAATGCTTGGCAAACCTTTTCTTACCTTGTCCTTCCTGCTCCACAAGCCCGGGTCAGATAGCACCCACCCTGTGACACTTTTCCTGATCCCCAAACTCAGAATTCATGGCTCCAGCATCCCTCTTGCCAGCACCACGAGTCACATGTGTCTGTTCTGATATGGATCATATTGTCGTGTGGCTATTGAGGCCAGTCTCTTCTCATCTTCGTATTTCCAAGCCTGGCACCGTACCTGGGACAAAGTAAGCACTAAATGGAAGTCTGTTGAGTTTGGTTCAATCCTGCATCCTTCCCTATGACTAATGCTTCATTTCAGCCGTCTTGCGAAGGTTAGAATGTCTCTGAAGACTTGTTTGCGTCACCTCCGCTCCCTCTGATTTCCACACCCACCACCCCATGAAGTCGCTCCTGGCAGGTCACAAGAGACCTCCACGTTACCGGAACACTCTCTTGTCCCATCCTCCCAAGGCTGCAGCAGCACTGGGCATGGTTTCCTCCCTTGTGGCTTCTGCCATCGCAGTCTCCTGCTTTCTCTTGCCTCTCAGGCTCTCCTGGGCCTCATCACGAGCCCCAGAGGTGGAGAACCTCAGGGCTCAGTCCTGGGTTGCAGGCTCTTCTCTCTACATTCCCTCCTGAAGGGACGTGTTTATTCCCATCGTTTAAAGTAGGAACACCATTTTCAGCTCTCAGCTCTAGATTCAAATTCGTGACAAGCTATTTGACATCTCACTTAGATCATCCTTAGGTATTTTGGCCTTGAAAGCCTGATAATTGATTCCCAGGTTTACCCCCAAGCCCTTCCTCCCTCGGTCTTTCTCCGTTCACTAAAAGGCAAGATAATGAAGGGTCCCCTTCTCGGGGTCTTGGGAGCCACTCTCTAAGAGAGAAGGGGCCTTAGAAGAGGGGGCAAATCTGGGGATATCTATATAGCATGCATTCTTACTTCTCACTTCGGCTTGGAAAAACACCGGATGCCTTAACCAGGTATTCAATGCCTGGACTGATCTGGCCCCAGCCTCCCTCTCCAGGCCCAGTTTCATCTTGCTCCTAGATCAGAAATGGGTGAAGTATGGTCCATGAGCCAAGTTTGGCCCACGTGTTTTTATATAGCCTGTAAGCAAATAATAATTTTTTAATATTTTTAAGTAGTTGAAAAAAATCAGAATAATATTTGGTGACATATGAAAATTATATAAAATTCAAATTTCAGCATGTATAAATAAAGTTGTATGAAATACAGCCATGCTGGTTTATTTACATATCATCTGTCTCTGCTTTCTAGCTACAAAGGCAGAGTTGAGTCATTGGAACGGAAGACTTATTAGCTACCAAGCCTAAAATATTTGCTATCTGGCCTTCTACTGAAAAAGCTGCCAAGCCCTGCTCTAAGCCAGTCCCCTGTCCTCTAAACACATCTTGCAAACTTCTAGTTTGGCACGGAGCTCTGCTCCTTTTTGTCCAAATCCTACCTCTCTTTAGCCCTTGCCAATCCAGCATTTTCTAGAATCTTCCTTGTCTCCTTCATTCAGTGGTTTCTCATCCTGCTCCAAATCCCTCTGCTAACATGTAAAGTTGATGGATTTACCTCCCAAGGCCTTAGATGACTGTGAGTTTCTGGTGCTTGTCACATGTCCTGTCCAGATTGGGAGCCACCTGAGGACAGAGATGGTATCTGCTCATCTCGTATCCCAGGGCCCAGCACAATGCTTAGCAAATCGTAAGTGCTCAGAAAGTACGTGTTAACGGCCGGGTTCAGTGGCTCACCCTTGTAATCCCAGCACTTCGAGAGCCCAAGGCAAGAGGATCACTTGAGGACAGGAGTTTGAGACCAGCATGGGCAACATAGTGAGACCACCATCTCTACAAAAATAAAAAAAATTTAGGGCCGGGCGCAGTGGCTCATGTCTGTAATCCCAGCACCTTGGGAGGCCGAGGTGGGTGGATCACGAGGTCAAGAGATGGAGACCATCCTGGTCAACATGGTGAAACCCCGTCTCTACTAAAAATACAAAAAATTAGCCGGGCATGGTGGCGCGTGCCTGTAATCCCAGCTACTCAGGAGGCTGAGGCAGGAGAATTGCCTGAACCCGGGAGGTGGAGGTTGCAGTGAGCCGAGATCGCGCCATTGTACTCCAGCCTGGGTAACAAGAGTGAAACTCCATCTCAAAAAAAAAAAAAAATTTAAAAACTCGCCAGATGCGGTGGCATGCGCCTGGAGTCCCAGCTACTTGGGAAGTTGAGGTAGGAGGATGATTTGAGCTCAGGAGTTCGAGGATGCAGTGAGCTGGGATCCCACTGCACTCCAGGCTAGACAACAGAGTGAGTCCCTGTAGCAAAAAAAAAA